CAACAGAATATTATAAATAATATTACAATTCAATATGATATTGATATCAAAACTTAACTTCATAAGTTAAAAATAGCTTTACTGATTGTAAAGAATTTTCATAATTCTCAGTACAATTTTCAGATTAATAAAATACAATATTAAAGAGCGTTTGCAACATATATGGAATTCACTCATGCAAAGGGAATTGCAAAAATCAGTTGATATTTATGAAATGTAATTTGTAAATCCTGCCTGTTATAACACTGATTTTAATAAATATTTACTATTGATTTATGTTTACCTGTGTATACATACCCATACTGTATTTTTCAAAATAGTGAATTCAACTTGACATAACTATAGTAGCTAACTCAATAATCATTTTATTAATTATTATTTTTAAGACAACTTAGTTTTAAAACACTAAGAAACACGATTATGTAAATCATTTTGACGGGCCTATTGGTCTAGTGGTTAGTGGCCCTGACTGCTAAGCCTAAGCTAAGCTAAGGTTCGATACCCACCCAGGACAGATATTGTGTGATGAGCACGGTAATTTGTTCTGTGTCTGGGTGTAATTTATCTATAATATGCATATACCTAATTAAAAATATATAAGTATGTTTATCAGCAGTCTGGTCACCATAGCACAGGCTCTGCCTAGTTTGGGATCAGACGGCCGTGAGGTTATTATTATTTTACCATAAAAAGCGTGGGGTCCATAAAAAACCATAAAAATAATATAATGATTTTACTTTTACTAATATCTGTCGATAAAATATTTTTACAACAATTGAGATGTAGCTCGCTATCCCCACGCAGTTTTAAGATAAAATAATTTTTCTTTTGAAGTTAAAGAATTTTTTTTCTACTTTTTAGTTCGGCTACTTGCAAATGTGTTTTTTAGTTTTTTTTAAATTTAGTTTATTTTTACTTTCTAAGTTATTATTGACGATTATTATCTCATTAAGACTAAAAAAGTAACAAGTAAGTCACATGCTTCAGCACACGCCTCTTAGTAAAAGACGCTACCATATTTTTATCCTGATAAGAATCATCATCATCATCAATAACCTTAATTGGTCCACTGCTGGACAAAGTCCTCTCCTTAGAAAGGAAGTTTTCGCCTACTATACCACGCTGGCCAGACGGGTTGGTATAGGGTTTGTTTCAAGTTTTCCTTATCTTTACTGTACAGTTGTCCTGGGTAGTTTGTTGCCTTAGCCGGCTCTTACGACACCCAACGGATGAATAGGGATGGTAACACTCCGTATTCTTAATCCGTCACCACACGGATAGGATAATCGGGCAAATTTATCAAATTATGTTTTTGTCATCGGTCCTTGATAAGTGTGCGAAGTTTCAATTTAATTCGAAATTTTGATGTTTTTCAAAATCATATTCGAAGATTTCGTTACTTACATAGATATATATACGAGTATACCAAGCTAATAAAAGAGTGTTAAAAATAAAAATTATGGGCACGTGCATATCGGTATCCACGTAATGTACGTTTCCGTAGTTTAACAAATAACGATTTTGTCTTTTGCAAAGTTAATTAGAAAAATAGTACCTAATGAGATTCTGCTATGTAGACACGTTTTAAAAGATGGTCGTTCATTTTTACACCTATTCTGGTTTTAAGAAAATAGCTTAACTCATGGGTCAGAGACACACACACACAGACACACTTAACTTTAACAGATACTAGAATGAGCATTTTAAAGTTAAATTTTTCACAATGAGGTAACTCAATGGAAAAATTGTGTCCTCACAATATTTCTAAGGAACAAGAGCAAATTATTCCCACTTTAGGTGTAGGGGAGACCTTGACAAAAAATGGAAATTTCGAGAAAAGCTAACCAAAGTAAAAGAAAAAAAATAAGACATTACCAGCTCTGTCTTCTTATAAAAAGGGAATATCATGAGAGGAAATATTATATACTTTATGCCAATACTCTTAGCACTGTTGTTTTAATTAACAATCAATAAAATAAGTGTTTTAAATTAGTACTCGTTTTGTCTGTGTTCGCAGTACTGTCACTGAAATCTTCGAGAACTTTATCATGTTGTTGCTTTTAATTTTGGTATTCATTTTCATCGTATCGATCGACTCTCGGGTTGCTAATTAATAACGCTACGTCAAAATAAATTATACCAGAGAATGCTTAGAATCTAAGTACTGTCTCTTAATTGTGTTTTAAGAATTTATAATATTATTATGATAACTAAAAGCATTATCATTATTTGCTCGTATTTGGTTAAAAATAGTGTCTACCTGATACCTGCTTGTTGGTGATTCGTAGATCTTTTTTTTGTAATTATCTAGTAATCCAATTTAAATAAACATCTTTGCAATCCTTCTTGTTAAAACATACCTATTGCGTTATGCACACCCAGACTTAGGCGGTGTCTCCACTAGAGCTACACTATGCCCTCATAATTAACTAGTATATGAGCGTTAGGTGTTATGTCCCTTATATGTAAATATCCTCGCAGCTAGCTAGACAATTATTTTATTTATTTATTTATTTCTGTAGCTTAACGGTTAACTTTGGAAAAAATGCATAGTAGGCATAAATACATAAGCATAATTGTCCATTTATACACTATAAAAACAAGTTATACAGATTTCATAACACAGGTTACAGCACAGGCTCTGCTTAATTTGGGATCAGTTCTGTAACAAAAAAAAACGAAAAACCATAAAAAAGTCAGTTCGACACATACATATAATGTAAATGATAAACCTACGTTCTGGTTTCTTTTAAATCGGTGCCAAGTTTGAAACACAGTGAATTATGCTTTTGGATTCAAACAACTTAACAAATTGAAAACAGAATTCTACTCTAATAAAATAAACTTTTTATTCAATGTGTTTATTTTTTCATTTTTAGTGTAAAGTATGTAAAAATTGAGTACAAGTGGTACTTAAAACACCACTTATTGTGATATAAGTTACCGAGCTGAGTACTTATCTTTAGATTAATAAGCTAATACTTTTGTCAGTAATACAAGTAATAACAAAAACAAAGCAAGTGCGAGTCTGATGTGCACAGCAAGGGTTCCGTACGAACTTATAATAGATAGGTTATTCAAGTTGCGAATCGATTCTTTGTGACTATTTTTTAATTCTACCTTACAAAACGCCATCTAGTCCTAAACTAAGCAGAGCTTGTACTATGGGTACTATACAACTGATACAAATACATTTATACTTTTTTTTGTAAATACATACATATCATACATAGAAACATCCAGACCAAATCAAACATTAAATGTTCCATGCCACCAAATTTTGTTTTAAGCGGGAAATCGAACCCCGACTTTGGGCGTAGGCACCCCGTTACCAAATTTTTAATTTTATTGTTCTATTATTTGTTAGTCTTCGCCTCTCAGCTATCATAACTTTTTCGTGGAATCCTTACAGAAGTAGTAGGGGTGGTAGATCTCAATTGATCATCAAAATGTTTTATTGACAGATATTGGTAAAAGTAAAGTTATTATATTATAAAATGTTTTGAAAAGCACCCCCCGCTTTTTTACGATTTTTCTTTTTGAACTTATAGAAAATTATTTTCTATTTCTTAAAGTTAATTTTTAAACTATAATTTTTTTTTTGCTTTTTTAGTCATTAATGATGATTATTTTCTCAGTAAGACTAAAAAGTAACAAGAAAGAAAGTCAAAACATAAGCATCAGCACACGCCTTAGTAAGTGGCAAAAGATACTACCGTATTTTTAGGTATGGAAAAAGCCGTTAATCCCGAAGAGCCCGATCAGGATAATCGCATAAATTTGTCAAATTTTTGTAATGTCATCCGTCCTTGATAAGTGCGCCAATTTACAATTCAACCCGACGTTTTAAAGTGGGTGAAAATAACGTTCAAAGATTTCGTTACAAACATACATACATACATTCCGTGTGGTGACGGATTAAGAATACGGAGTGTCACCACCCCTATTCATCTCGTCGGTATCGTAAGATGCGACTAAGGCAGCAAACTATGCAGGACAACAGCACTGCAAAGAGAAGGACAACTTAAAAAAAACCAACCAACCCGCCTTGCCAGCGTGGTATAGTAGGCCAAAACCTCCTATCTAAGGAGAACCATATCTCCAGCAGTGGACTATTAAAGGCTAGTAAAAGCCTATTATTAAAAACTAATCCTTCTTTCCTACTATGGACGATCCATAAGACATAAGTACGCCTTTTAGGCTTTTTTCTTTCCGTGCGGAAAGCCCCTCGGATACCACCTATCGGTGGCATGTCGGACTCGAAACGACTAAAACCGCACGCCGTCTCGGGTACCTACTAATAGCCGGGGAACCAGGTATACCCTAGAAAACGCCTTTTACCCTGAACCAATTATTGCTCACAACTGAGTGCTTTACGCGTGTCCTAGAGAAATACCGATAGATAAGTACTAGTACTTTAGATTTTAAAAGGATTTAATTTTAAGTTTAGTGTAACTTTCTTTCTTAAGTTTTGAAATGATTCTGGATCGCTGCATAGAGTGAACATAAAACGTTAGATACCCAATTGAGCACCAGGGCCTTCCTTTCTAGGGTATACCTGGTTCCCCGGCTATTAGTACCCGGCGAAGGCGTGCGGTTTTAGTCGGTTCGAGTCCGACATGCCACCGACAGGTGGGTATCCGAGGGGATTTCCGCACGGAAAAAAAAAAAAAAAAAAAAAAAGATACCCAATTGAATTCAAAAAACTGTTTTTTTTTTATAAAGTGCATATAGTTGTATGACTGTCTGATAACAACCGAAACATTGCGAGCTTCAAGATAAGCAGTGTAAATACAAACAAACAACTACAAGATCTTTGAACTTAATAAGCTTTCCCACCGGTGTAAACAAACTAAGCCGGTAGACGACACGGCAAATACTCACTAGAGATAAAAACTTGTTATAATACGAAGGCGGCACATACGATCAATTAGTGCTGTCGCGGTTTCGCGAGCGCCCTCCTTCTTTCTTATTACCTATCTAAAACAAAGTCATTCAAAATGGCACCCGGTGTCGTACAGAACACTGAAACCGTTATAAACGATACTCTTATTATCGAAAACGGTAATACAAGTATCGTCAAAAACAATTGAACCTAAAACGTGTCCGTTACCTTCAGTGTGATTAACCAATTTGAGAAGCTCGACAAGAAACCAGTTCGCAAAAGTTATTAGGGCCAAAGGTTTTGAAGAACGTTGAGAGTCATGAGTATCTATACGATCGGCTTTATGATGAGCCCTGTCCTAGGGTGGTAAGTACTTCAATATACATATTATTACATGATAAGTTATTAGAAACGGGATATTTATCATATTTATTTTAGTATTGATTTTCAATATTTCGGCACCGATGCAAGCGCCATGATCACGGATGAAGTTTATTCGTGATTATAGCGCAGAATGAGCATAGTAGTTTAAGTCGATATATGTATATTATTAAGCTATCTATGTTAAGTGCAGATTATTACTAAAATAAAAAGAAATACATGATATATATTAATTTTAAAGGCCTTTTGTAAAATCGATACCAAAAAGTGGTCATCTTAAATTATATTTTTCTTTTTATTTAGTTTTTCTTAAAACATTTTAAATTTTATTTAACTAATCATATATTTAAACTAATATGCGTGATAATACTTATTATACCTATTAAAATATCAATTAGTTCAATCTTTTATAAACGGTGGTATCGACAAAGAAATATGTTGCAGACCTCTGGAATAATCTTGGAATATTTTTCTACCTCACAACATGTTCCAAAGTCCTAAAAATTTAAGTAACATAATCAATAACGAACCATTAAAATACGTATTATTGTTACTCATATTTGTATATATTGAACAGCTCAGCACGTGCCCATCTAAGTCAATAATTACCTTTGGAGCAACTTAGAGAATATGGTGATGGATAGGAATGCGTATTATTGTGTTAATGTTTTAAGTGCTCTTGAATTCTATAATGTAAGGTTGCGAATGTATAAGATTATATTAACTAACTTTCGACCGCGGTTTTTATTGTACTAATGTCAATTTTTGGATAAATTCAGAAATTCCTCTGGCAAAATAGAAAAAAAATCCTATTTCTCTGAAAATCTGTATTCAAAATTTCTTAATGTGTGATTGAGTAGTTATGACAAACAAACTTATATTGGCATTTATGATAGTAAGTTTGATTGTTGACAGCTTACTTCTATTTTAATTTATTAGCACTTTCTTCTAAGTAATGTGTCAAAAACTTTACAAAGATTATTGCTGCAGTATAAGCTTGCTACGCACTAAACAACACCTTTTTAGTAACTGTTTTTAACAAATAGAAGTTATCTTCTTTTCAATATTAACCCTCGAATGGTTTAACATTGCTGTTTAGAAGCCTTAAACACTAAAGCTTACAGATATTAAAAACCAAAATACACGCGGAGACGCCCTGCAATTATCTGCTAATCACACAGACGCTTTTATATTATTTAAACTGTAAGGGTTTCATGATTTCATCAACGTCCCTGAGGACCTAAAGTGTAACGTTTCCTATCCAGTTGTTGATTTAATCATTGTCAAATATGTACCAACACTAATGTCAGTTGGCGTGACGGGGTTTTTTATTTTACAACCATCCGATTTGTTGCGTTCTGAACATAAAATAATGTGTGCTTTAACATGACGAAAGCAAACATTGTAAGTATACATACAAGAAACAAAATGTCTCATCACTGATCAAAACAAACAATATTGCAATAATTGTTCACGGCAGTTTAAAACTTTTGTTTGTTTAAGGAACAATAGAAGTCTCGTTTCGATAGTTAAACTGCCGTGTGACTAAAAATTTATATTTGTTTCAAGTGAAAATAAAATATTGTTTACTAACTTATCCTCAATACAATTTATGTTAATTTAATAAGACCACAACAAATGCGGTTTTAGGTTTTAAAAACGATTTAAAAGATTTTAAAATACAACTAATTCATGGAAGAGATGTGAGTTTACATTTTTAATCATAATTGTTAGTATTATTATGAATGAAGAAATATTAATTTTGACTACAAAAGGCAAAATCAACGAGGAAATTAAACACCGTCAGTCTTTTAGTTGGAATTTAAAACTTTATTTCGACATAAACTCACAACAATAGCTCATACATATTTTAAGGACAAAAAGCTTAGCACTTTGGCATACTTAACAATGAAAAACCTTTGTACGTTTCAGTTTTGCAAGTTTTAAATTTTAACCAACTCGTGCATTCGGAAAAATGATTCAATATTTATTTCTTGTTTCCTTAGAGCGCACTGAAAGTTGGCGCGTGGTGGAACCGCCGCAGGGCGCTGTTTCCAAGTTACTGTGCCGGAACTTTGTCTCACATGTAGGGGTGTCGGCTCAAGATAACGTTTAATATATGTCGTTTTAAAATGGAATACTTTAGCAGCTGGCAAATATATACTTTTTTAATGTAGAGAAAAGACTTACCAATATTTCGATATCTGTAGGAATTAGGATTTACGTTTTAATGTTTGCTTTTCTGTTATTTCAACGTGATATAATACAATTGAGATATTTAAATGGCTTTTTTAATGATAATATTTAAGAGCCTCAATAGACTTCTAGATCAAAGAACTGATGAAGTAGTTCTCTTCGATAGTCAGCAGGTTTACTTTTATCAGAACCTACACCACAATTATCCCTAAACCTCTACGTGAAAGTCGAATACCCTAATGCGGCGATAGGTAGGTCACATTATTAATTAGAAAAATAAAGGTTCTTATTCAAATAACTTACGTATGGGTACTAATTTTTTGCTACAGAAGTAATACATTTTAACAGTAATGTATAAAGTTTGTACTAAAAATGAGTAATTTGAATATTTCAAACACAATACTTGGCCAAAATTAGTCTTATCGTCTTAATAAAGTGTGTAAATGATGGTATGCGTTGAAAAACTTTTCCCATTAAGTATTATATTCTTGGTTCAGGCCATTGTGTTCCGTCACGTGTGTGTTGGCCAGACGACTGAAGGTATAACGAGCATATAATAATTTTAAAACTGGGAATTTTTTTACGTACTCATAGTTTTGTTTAGTGAAAAATTTTGTAAGAATTGTAGGATACTTTTACAAATACTTTTTATTTATTATGAACGTAAACTTGCTTGTTTTCGTAAGAAACTGGTGACTATTTTTTTTGCTTGAGCCTTGACTCATATTTAAAATGTTTTTTATATGAAATGTATAAACGTACGCATAAATTTTGCAGTATGGTGTGTTTAAATGGGATATAAATCATCAGTAAATAAATCGCTTTCTGCAAACCGACAAGTCTATCCCCCTCCAATACCATTACACTTGGGTTATAAAGTAATTGTAGTTTGTAATGAAATAGGGGCGCTATATTTCAGTCCATCTCAGTTCAAGTATTTATAATGGTGTCTTAATATCTCATAAGAATGCGGATGTTCTCTCCATGTGAAATTCTTAATTAAAGTAATGTAATTAAATTTGGCGAATATCATTCTCAATCTATTTTAATTACTCATTTAAGTAGTTAAATTAAAAACCAAAAAACATTTTGAAATGAATTGTTTACATATGAATAATATTAGAACAAAAAAAACATAACAAATTCCTGTTTTAAATAAAACTGCCTCACCATAGCCTCTTTAAGTTACCACCCGTTATTCATTCGTGACTTGTTCAACTAAAACTCTCTTTATTTCACAATTTTTTTCAAATTGTTTGAAATCGTCTTTTATCTAGACTCTAAAGTCATAGATCAACACACACAAAAGCAACAATCTCTGTTTTGTGGAATAGTAAGCAAATAAATTTAACAAAAATCAAACCCATACAAAATCTATGATATGCCTGTGCCGATCTACAACCGCCCGTTTCAAAGGGGTCGAGCCTTATGAGAAGAAAGGGCAAACAAACTCATGGACTCATTGTACTGGACTTACCCCCTTTGACTTTTTTCCTTCTGAAAACGATTAGTGCCAAAAAGTAATGAAACTACCATTAAAAAAGTTTTTGGAATTGTCCCATTCTAAATAACATTGCAAATATCATTTTTTTTGTATTCTAAAACAAAAAACAACTTAATTTCTAGTGCACCTACTACGATATTTCCCCACCACCCAAAGGTTGACTGGGACAATTTCATGCCTGTGGCATTAAGTCCGCCATTGTACAATTAATTTGTGCGTAAAGAAATAAATAAATAGTTTTACATCATCCATAAATACTTTAAGTTATATGTATTTTCGCTAATACACCGTATGAGATATTAGAATTAACAAAACCAAACCACCTCACATGTTTGTGAAATATTAGTGTGATTCCTTGAGGGAAATAAAAAATAAGTACATGTAGTTTTTATCACAAGTTCTTGTAGATGAAACTAAACGTGTCATTTGTCTCAGTTGCTGAATGTCATTTCAGTTCATAGTCTTTGAGCTGAATTGTGGTATATTGATAGTCATTTATAATACAATAAATATATATTTTAAAACACTTCATCAGTTTAAAAAAAAGCTCCTAACGTACGTTTTAGCCAGTCACTTCTGACGCGTTTTCCTCTAAAAATACGTAAAATGTTTGATATTATTATAAACAATTTAGAATCTTTTAGTTTGAAATTGGCAGAATTTGAGATGCAAATAAGATTTCTTGGAACATTATAATTAAGTTTACTAAAAATATGTTGCAAATTCACATACCTCCTCTACTAGTATTACTTCGTACGTGCATACACACATGTACAAGCAAATAGCGATATGTTGTGTGTAACCTACCTTGAAGGCAAAAAGTACAGCACTTCAATTCGAAACTGTGCTTTTTTTTTCAAAATCTAAATTAGGATCACATGATGCAATTGTGTCTGCAACTTTAAACAATGAATTTAATTTAGGTAGGTCATAGCTGAGTAAACACTTACAAAAATATTAATACACAAAAAAAGAAGGTACGATCTCATTTTCTCGTATAAAGAAACAATATTAAGAGGATCTATACAAGGAATTCGATGAACTCATTTAATTTTGACTACTTAACACTAGTAAAACTTCTTTTTATCAAGACTGATTTTCTTTTCTGAATTTTCCTAATACTTTTCACTACTTATTTTGATAATTAAATAGTTATGTACATTCCAACCAATAAAAATGAGCGATCTTTTGCGATGTACTCTTATTACTTCATATTTCCAAGACTTGACGCCTCAATATGAAGTGATAAACGCGCCATAGGAATTTGTATCGCAAAATGATTGAATCGCCGTAAAAATAACATCATGTTTTATGGACTTCATTCTTTATGGTTACGTAGTGCGAAAATATTGCGAACATAAAAATGTGAGAGTTAAGAAGATTTGATATTCAGTTAGGAACTTCATAAAATAAGAGAACGTATTAAAGATTTCAGTGCATTAATAATGGGATAAATTTATTTGTTTCTCGAATCTAAAATTTGTCCCAAAGCAACTAAGTCTACATACTATTATATTATGTGTGGTACTTACACTCTTTTTCAATAAACCTTAATAATTTTGTCTTCTACAAAAACAATCCTTTGTTTAATTGTGCCTTTAATCTGCGGTAGGATATGAAATAATAACTCACTCTAGGCACCAGTTTTAAATTCAGACACAAGTATTTTCAAACAGCTTATAAGTTTAATAAATAATATTGTACCTCTATATTCTAAACAAAAAAAAGGCAAGAGTAAAGTAATATTAAGCGGCTTATAGGATTGGGTGTCTAATAGCTGTCGTAAACATTGGATTATAAAATTAAGACTGTTTGGTACAAGATCATACATTATTAAAAATATTCTAAATATCATTTTTAAAGTCTGTTTCATATCTCTTAACGGTCATTCCATTATCTGACATAATTATCTACCAACTACGTAAATCCGTTTAAAACAATACACAAATACAAAACAAGAACTGGTATAATGAAACACTGTATAACAATGTTGTTGTTTAATATAAGTGTAATTTGTCTGATAAATACGAGTAAAATCTATTTAGTATGTTGCACATTTTTATCTCTCATCTTAGTTGTATTCAAACATCACAAAAGTTCGTTCACTGCCAGACATAGGTCTCTCCCAAAAATCGCCACAAAAACCAGCATTCCGGTACCGTCCGTACCAACCATAGAGTTAACAGTAGATTATTAGTAGGTATAGTTAACATAATACTAAAAGATTTTAGAAAAATAGTATATGTCTCAACTTTAGCACTGCGCAGTTATATATGGACGTCAAATAACCCATGTCACTCAATGTATGCGAGTCACGAAGAAAAATTATTTACCATTCCACAACGATTTGTGGTCCTTGCTCTTTACGTAATTGAGGCCAAAGTTACTGTTTATTTTTATAAGAGAAACATGCTTAGCTAAAGAATATAGAAGTTGAAATATTCTATGGAACATCTATAGAACATTTCTTACACTATTATAGACTTTCATTTCAGTAGGAACGGTATGGTTTACAAAAAACAGGGGTTGAAAATACTATTGGAGTTTAAATGTATGGTAATCCAATTTAATATTTTTTTATTTAATTATTATAAATTAATTAATTTAATTAAACAAATATTTTAAATGTAGTACAAAAATGCAATACCGACAATACAATAACAACACACAACGACGATAACAACATATTTAATTACAATAAAATTTAAAATATATTGTACAATTAAGACATTTCAGTTCTACGAGTACACTATCAACAATTGCATTACAAAAAGTCCAGTTTTTATTCTAATGACATTCCGCAACACAGTAGAAATCTATTTTCCCTAGTAATTAGATTCAAACCTTTTTTATGATTTAACGCAATCTTGTCCTTACAATAGAATGCTAATGCACTTCTTATTGTATTTTCCTTTCCCCAGTATCACTTTATTTTCAAATGACATTTCCCCAGATGATTGTTATTGAATCTGTATTTCTATTATTTTTACTCAGCGTGCACTTTTATTTTATGTTTATTGTGACTTCACATACCACTCGATTGAACATTTTTGTTTCTAAAGGCTTTTTCTAATTTTACCTAGTCTAGTTTAATATGATGCTCTAAAACGTAACTTAAATTTCATAAACCATAGTGTTAACCAAAAATAAAAATATTTTATCCAAAAATATGTATTTATTAATTCAAAAGTGACTAATACAGACAGACGATCAGGCCAAAAAATATTTTGACACACGTTTTTAACTTTATTTATTTTTTCCAATTCTAGTGAATTTTTATTAACATACGTATTTAGTTATAAATAGAATTAAAAAAAAAAGCCGTTCTCTGATAACATAATAACCAAAATAAAAACCTTACATATGTATGTTTGCTATGGGTTCTTACATTCGATTTCAAGATCTTGAATATTTCCATCCTTAGATGACGATGTAGATTATTCTCCTAGTAAAGGTTCCTGTAAACTCATTCTAGAGACCTTTTCCAGATGAAACAAATTTCTTATACCTAACAAGACCGTTGCCGCCACAAGTGTAATTTAGCCAAAGAAAAATATTTATAAATGGTAGTCATTTTGTTTTGGCGAGGGTTCTACTGTTTAAAATAACAACTTCATGTTATAATTTTAAATGGTTTAAATTATTGATGTTTTCAAATGACTACAGTTCAATGAACTCATATAATACAGGTTATAAAGTTTTATGTTGATAAAAAAGAAGACCATGACTTATACTGATACCTAGTATTAAATAAAATTTTAAAACAATGAATGAACAAAAAACTAATCAGTAACTACTTAAACAGTGATAACCTTTAACTTATTAGTAAATTAGATGCCATTGTAAGTGATTATGCCTTTCAAATGGTCATCTAAACATCTGCTGCGTTTTACTATCAGATCCCAAGTTGTTTCATAGGGAATTAATTACAGAAACCCTCATAGGTAGTAACTGCATCAGTTTTAAACATTTTACATCTTTTACAATATTCTGAAGTTAGTTTAAGTATTCAATTCTTAATTGTTATTACTAACCTGTACACTTGTTATTGTCAACAGCCAACACTATGCAACGAGCGAGCTTGCCTTGGAAGTATTATGGCCATACCTGGCCGTGGCGACGTGCCCCGAGAATCCGAAGAAGTATTGAAGGATGCTAAAGACTTCTTAGGGCAGTACTTTGCTTCTATACGAAGGTGAGTGAACCAGTGTCTGTTTCCTGTTTCCTTTCAACCTTAACTTTGGGAAATTGGGATTGTTTTTAAAGAATCCAATTTAAAACAAGTAATCCAGAAAAAAAAAACTGGGTTCACGGTATTGCTACCGCCGAGACGAGCCACATTTTCTCGAAGCGCTTGATCGTTTTTTGAACCCTGATAACAAGAATTTAGATTGTACCAGATAAACGAAAACCTTGGGATATGATGTCAATAGTAGACTTATTAAAAATATAAATTATTGCGTAGCTATTATACTTTAGATTGTATTGACACATCGCAAACTCTATACCTTTTTGTTACCGTCACATGGGCCTATGGTGAAAAAATTATTACGCTACCATCACATGGGCGTAAGGTGAAAAATTTGATTCGCTACCGTCACATGGGTATAAGGTGAAAAATGTACTTACTGTTCAATACTTTTCTGTTATACAATAGTTCTTGTAGTAACGAAACGGACAAGCCATATATAATATTTAGACAAAGGTGTAGAGTTTGTGAAGTGAGGGCTTGTAGAGTTAGGCCGTGTAGAGTTAGAAGTTTGGCTCTACATAAGATCTGATAACTTTTTGACTATGCGAGCCATGATCTCGTCTTGGCAACGTTTTACATGAAAACGTTTTTGGTGGGATTAAATTGGTAATGAGATTATTTAAAATATTGCTGTTTTAAGACGAAAATCATCAATGCATGAATTCAATTGTATGAAAGAATAAACTTATCGTCTTGTTGATTATATCAACCAGACGGAAAGTAAACATACATTGAGCCTTTTAGCTAGATATTTTTATATATTAGCACAATGCTATAAATAGTTATGATGGGATTATAATATCAACCAGTTATATTAAGTCCCTATTACTTCAAAATAAATATTTTTTTTTAATTTTAATTTTGATAAAACTGGGTTTTTGCGACCAAAAAATTAATGCATTGAAAAATCTAAAAAAAAAACTTTTGCCCCAACCCGGCATTGTTTTTTGAGAGTCTCGCCCCTTTTTTTGGCCCCCTCATCTGACCTTATATGATTTCTCATTTTTTTTTAAAGGGGCCCGAAAATAGGCCCCATTTTAAAATTTTTTTCTTTTTTTTAAATAACTTTAGGAGCAATATTTAGATTTAAAAAAGGGAAAAAGTTTTTTAACCCCAATTTTTTAAAAATTAAAAATCGTTTTTTGTTAAATTTGGATTTTAAATTAATAGAAAATTTTTCAAAAAATTAATTTGCCAAAGCAAAAAAATTTGGGCTACCTTTTGGTAACCAAAAAGGGTTTTAAGGGATCTTTAGTATTACTTTAGTTTTTATGACCCCCAAAAAATTAGGAAAGGGTAAGAAGAGATTGCATAAGATTTTTTTGGCCTACAAAGTAATCCATCTTCAAAGAAGCTGAAATATAAGGTTTTTTTACTTTTGGATAAAACTACCAGTGCTAAATTTTGAACTAATACTGGGGATTTATTATTTAAAAAAACAGTTGGAATATAGAAAAAGGTTTGATGAATTAATTCGAATCTGCGGACACCACGCGTTTGAGGGAATTTTAAAAATTGTTTGTTTGGATTTAAAAATTTCTAATTTGTATCCAAAAATTTTTTAAATTTGTTACCTAAATGTTGTTGTTGTGAAAAGAACCTGTTATGTATTTTTTAATTTTTCGTTTTGTAACATATTTTTTGCTTTTTGTGGAAAAGAAATAATTTTTTAGATGAAAAAAATTACCCTAGAAAAAAAATTGTTTTACCTAAAAACGTGAGAAAATTTTTTCGAATTTCATAGTAACTTCCGCAACACAAAAAATAAAACGTAAATTTTCATTACATATTTTATAACTTTATTTTCTTGAAATTGCAGGGTATGAATATAATCACTTGAAACAACACTTGATTGTCTGTGTTGCACGAAAAAAACCGGAATAACAACCACTACAAAAAAAAAGGGAAAAAAATTTTTTGGAAAAAAGGAAATAATTTTTTTTTACAGAGCCAAAACTCCGCACATGAAGCCGTTGGGTTGTTCAAAAGAGTACTGGACAGGAACTTACCAATTTACCCCCACAAGTTAGTCTTTGGGGCTAACTTGCTTGGGAAACCCAGCCCAGCATTTTGGGAAATACGTGGTTAAATTGCAGGGAGGAGATTTTATAAAAGATTCAAAACGGAAGAATGTCATGAAATTAAAAATGATGGCATTATAAAAAATGATTATGAAGATTAAAAAAAAAATGATTTAATTAAAAAAGAAATGAAAAACAACAAAAAATCTTTTCATATCTTATAAACCTTTCCTTTCATGATTTCCTTAAAAATTTTTAACCAAACTTGTAATTGTCAATAATAAAAACAATAAAAGTACTGGCTGTTAAAACTAAGGTAAAAAATAATATCCTTGTTTTTTTCGGTTTTCTTTTGTCAAAACGAGCAAAAATTTTAGGAAAGAATTTTCCCATCTAATGAGAAAACTCCCCTTTCGCCTGCAAAAGAAAAAACTGTACAATTAACTACTAGTTAGAAGTTTTGTCTGTGGTTCTACCAATTTTTTCGAGCTTTTGTGTGGGACGATTGTTTTATTTTTCATTTTTGGGAAAAACCCTTTTTTTTTTGAACAAAGAATGTCATTCAGTTTTTATATTGAAAATGACAATTCTTTCTTAATAAAAAATTTATCAATTTTTTTTGTTTAATTACATGATTTTGATGCTTAAAATTGTAAAAATACTAATAAAAAAGAATGACGGGGTAGGGGGATTATTTTTTTTATTTTTAATATTAAAATTCCAACTTTTGCGCAAGAATATCACAAAACATATTCTTCACCTCTGAACAAAAAGCTTTTCTTTTTGCCCAAACGTTTTGGAAAATTTCGAGAAAATAATATTTTAATAAAATTGATTATACAATCAATAATTATTATCTTTGACTATCCCTTTTAAATGTTAATATTTTAAGAAACAACTTTAACTCCCCCAACCTAAGTTTGGGGTTTACAAAGCAATAAATTTCCTCTAAACAAAAACCTTAAAAAAACTTGAAGAACAGACGGGACTTCTAATTGCATGGAATTATTCGAAGAGTCAATAGCCCTTATTAAAAAGTAAACGAAACAAAAAAATTATTGTATTTTAGTAGTCCCAAATTTTTTTTAAGTGCAAAGAAATAGACGTTTCGGGGTTTTTTAGAGTATACTGTTTCGATTCCCCTTTTGCTCCTACTACTATTTTCCCAAAATGAATCGTTTTTAAAAAGTTAACATCAAATATTATCGAATTTAAAATTTTGGCAACGACTAACGATTTTAAATTTCATTGTTCTTTCCTTTGGGTTTCGCTCGGTTGCGAAGGATAGGTTTTTAAAAGGGTTTCCCGGACCCGACTGCAATCCTTGTGATGTTGCAAGTCGTTTTGAAATTTACGCAGCTTAAATAATTGTTTGGGTTTAAGGGGTACGAAGTTTGATTATAGACTCCAATTAAGTTGCTTTTTTTAGATACTATTCTTTTTTCAATACATCTTCGTTCTACAAAACCTTTTTAATATATTTTTTAATTTTTTATTAAAAACGGCCCTTTTTCTTAAAAAAAAATTAAAAAAGGTGATGATTTTGATTCATTTTTGGGTTAAATTCTTTGTGTAAATCTTTTCATAAAAAAGGGGCTTTGTTACCCCCTAGCATGCGGCCTTTCTTATTAATGTTTTATTAAAATTTTTGTGTAAGTTTTTAGAGCAAAAAAAGTGTAAAATTACAGCCCCTGTGGAATACTTTTTTGTTTTTTTTAAAAATAAAAATTGTTTGTAATCTCCGGGGCCTCTAAGAAATTCCCAATGTCGTAGTGCCACGAGATAAAATCAAATTAAAAAAAAAGCTTTTCTTCAGAGTGTTTTAATCTATAAGTTTTTTATAAGGTAAAATTGTATTAAATCAAAAAATTCCTTGGACACATTCTCGTCTGTTTTTCTCGTAAAGAATAAATGGATTCTATCTCAAAGCCCTTACAGGGCCCGGTGGAAATAGGTTTTTATTTTAAATGGAGGTTTAGGCCCACTAAAATGTAAAGTGTTATAATGTTTATTTTAAAAAACTTGCGATTTAATGGCGGGAAAAATTTTTTTTTAAACCCTGAAATTTTTGTTGAGTCTAAAAGATTTCAATCATTTCACCGTGCTGACAGGTATAAAATTTTCATATTTTTTTATTTTTTTTTTTATACATATAAAAAAAACAACAAATTTTCTCAAAAAAATTTTATAATATTTAAAAGCAATTCGCAAAATTGCCCATGTAAAAAGGTACTATTTGTTATATACCAATATAACAAAAATGGCTTTATTTTTTTAAAAAGCCTTTTTTTTAGAATACTTAAAAAAAAAATATATAATAAAACTTTTTTACCAAAATTTTTATATTTATTCATCTTAATGAAATTTAAAATATAGAAAAAAAAAGAAAAAAAATAATTATAAGTTTTAAATAATACGTATTTTTGTTGAAAAAAAAGCAGTGATGAGGTTTTGGTTAAACATATTTTGGATCAAAAAAAAACAGTTGTAAAATCTAAGGTCCATTTTAAAAACCTTTCTTTTAACGTATTTATTCATTAAAAAAAAAAGTTTTTTAAAAAAAATTTAATTTGGTTTCTTTAAAATCAGATTTATGAAGAGAAGTACCCGGGGATACAGCATCGCGGAAATTCTCGTGGTACCCCCCCAAACCCTCTAAAACGTCTCAAGCATTAAAAATTCCGGTTTTTGGCGTTTAGTACTATTTTAAAAGGCTTTCAGTTTTTGTTTTTTTTCATATAATAAAGGTTTTAACCCCCTGAAACCTAAAACCCCGGCTCCCCTCTTGCCTTTACATTTTTTGGGGTTTAATTCGCCTATACCCCGCATGTGCAAAATTTAAAACAAAAGTAGCACCGGGTGATGTCCCTCTGTTTAAATTTGGGGTTTGTCAGATCTAAAACGTAAAAAATTGATTTAGTCATTTGCTTTGAATTATTTTCTAGAAATAGGTTAAAAAAATAATTTTTTAAAATTATGAATAAATTTTGTAAAAAATACTTTTGCATGGGGTTTTTCCCTTAAAAATTTGGGGTTGTGCAGTTAGATTAAGACACAAATTTTAAAGATCCACCGTATTTATCTGAAAAATTTTTAGTGCCTTTAAAATAAATAAATAAAGAAGGAGTTCAGTATGTCGAGTTCTGTCGAAGGCAAACCGTAGCTAAAACTTTACAGATTGGAAGTAAAACGAAGATAGTGACGCTACCCCTCATATACAGTGCGTAACTGTTTGAGAGAGGAAATAATATAAGCCGAAAGCATATTTAGAAACCAATTCAAGGATAAAAGTCAGTTTATAAAAAGAACTGTGTGGCGGTTTCATATAAGCACCAGAAACATCACTTTTGCTAGGACGTCACAATGCCACAGACGTATTGACGAAAAGGCTTGAAGTTTGGAGTTGGAAAAAAACCTATTTGTGTTAAGGATCAAAATAAAATCACCCTGTATTGTTCATGTCCTTAGTAAAAGGGTCAAACTCTTTAATGCTTACTAAGCCGAAACCCTTAGTACACTGCGATAATTTCATCAACACTCTCCCCTTCTTTATTATTGGCCTTTAAAAAAAAAAGGACTTGGGTTTTTGGCAAATTGGTTTCGGGAAATTTTTATTTACTTAAAGTTTTCCCCACGTTCCAAAAAATGTTTATTAAATCCTTCAAATTTTCCCAAACTTTATTTTCTTTTTAAATTTTAAAACGCTGATACAATTAATGACTATCGGTTTTTTTTTTAATTTTACCAGAGAATTTTTCCAAATCAAAATTTCATAATATGCCTATGGGTAAAATTTTTTATTTACGCAAAATGTTTATTCGTATAATATTAAAAACAATATGTAAAATATCTTAAATTAAACCTACAATCTTTTCGCCAAAAAAAATCAAAATTCCAAAACCCTTCCTGTGTTTTGGTATGGGAACTATGGAGTAAAAAAAGGTGGTATGAAAAAGGTATTCGATTGTGCAATGACAACTACAAGCGGTAGTTCGAGGCTCTTTGAACCACACAAATCAGCCCCAAAAAAGGGGAATATTAGTGAGTTTTGTAACTATAGTATTTTTATTTCTTTAGTTTTCGTTTTTGGGGAAAAGATTGTTCCCAAAGCTACTGCGGCGAAAAAAAATAAAAAAAAGTATTTTAAAGGGTCTTATAAAAAAGAAAACATCACCTTTCTGCTTTCCCAAACCCGAAAATTTTACATTTCTTCTCAAAATGGGGAAAAACCTTTGTAAATAAAACCAAATTTAAAATTCTAAGAGTATAAGTTAAGGGGCTGACGTAAGGGATGACGTCAGTGCCCTTTTAGTAAGATTGGTTTTTTAGTTTGCCATTCAAAAAACATTTTAGTTTTTTCAGTTTGTTAAGTTGTAGAGAAATTAATATTTTTTAATTTAATTTAAAATTGTATCCAAAAGGTCAGCAAAAACAGTATTCCCTCAACTCGGACGGCAAGACGTATAGGTTTGGGAAATAGCCAGCCATCGCTATGCGGTTCCCGCCAAACCGGATGGCACGTGTTTGGCGAACCCAATTGGATTCCGAGGATTGAGGAGGTGGTAGATGCAAAAAGGTTGTCGATATAAGCAAATAAAAAGGGGGGGATTTTATATCAAATTTAAAATACAAAATTGAAAAGGGAACCACCAAAACGAACAAAAAAATTTTGCAAATTGCCCAATTCAAAAAAACAAAAACTTTTAACTTTTTGAAAGCTTTTTTTTAAAAAAGTAATCGCAAAGAAAATATTAAAAATAATCTATTTTAGACTTCAAACAATCTTGAAAATGGTCAATAAAAATTTTTTCTTTTTTATCTTATTCTTTTTTTGGAATGACGAAATTGTACAAAGTTTTTTTTAATAAAAAAACAATGTTCTTTACCATAACCATATGTAACAGTTTTCTATTCTTTATCATAGCCGTATTCCATTGTTTCTAGCGACAAATTTACATTAAAATATTTCCAATAAAACTTGTACTGAAACCGTAGAGAGATTGATGGCCATTGAAAAACATTCCAGTTATTGCGGTCTGCTATAAATAATCATTCATCAACTGAATATCTCACTGTTCATGCACCTGCTCTATGTAAACAGTAATAAAATTGTATTGTACCACAATTTGTTTACACACTAAATGTATGAACAAATAAATTTTACTTGCAGTATACAGCCTGTTAACGAGTACCATAGAACGACTGATAGTATTCACGTGCTATTCTATTCCAGTTTTCAATATATTCACATGCTATTCAAGTCCAGATTTCAATCTTTTAATCGGAATGTACTAACTATACTATTAATATGGTAAAAGTCAACTGTTGCAAAAACTAGTTATACTAAAAACTCTTTATTAAATGAGTGAGCTACCAATCCTAAATGGTTTAAACTGTCCTGGAACTATTATTAGTCATTCGTTTGTTTTTTTCTTCTTATAGTATGCCCACGAGTGACACTGTCTTCTGATCTTATACTATCTCCATTAAAGTTCCTTTCTTTTTGTCATAGTGACACTGTAACACAATTATAGAACAACATAAATCTCCAACTGATGCAAGCAAGCAAGCAATTTCTCAAGACACTTAGTACAAAACTTATAGCAATATGTGGTTGTATTCAGCTCTGCTTGAAACTTGGCTGGAAGCCCCCGCGGTCCGCTTGGGACATCTGCCCCTTGTGTTGTCGGCCAATGGGAAAGATCCAGACTACTTCGAAATCCCGCGGAACTTATCATGGAGATAAGCATGACCCATCCCACGTAAGTTTCAGATCAGTTGTATTTTAAGTTTTTCCATTTGAATAAGTGTAAACAAATGAACTCTTATCGTGAATAAGGAAGAATGTATTTCTACCGCTAGGTTAATTAAGTCAAAAAAAAAGAAATAAATATTAAAAATATATAAAGTTAAAATAATAGAGTATTTAATTCGTATTCCAAATAGTCATTATTTTAACGTCTACGAAGGATTGACCGGAGATATAATATAAAACACATTTTACTAGCTGTATATTTTAATATTTATTGATTGATTAGCTTATTTTAGTAGTAAATAGTTTTTGATACATGATCATATTTCCTAATAAGATACAAAAATAACTTCATATTAACTATCTATTACTTTGTAAGTTAAAATTGTCACAATGACTAATAGAAAATCTTTTCAAAACAATTTGTCTCCCACTCTATTACAAAGCAACGTCATACTATTTCATAGTTTCTCAGAAACACAACAAAATTATTACAGTATATATATTTTTAATGCTAATCACAAACATTATTTGTGACAGTATTGCGTATTTAAAAGAGCGTTTTAGTTTAGACATGATTGTGTTTTTGCAGACAAGTTCTATTTAGTGAAACTTGTACGACTGGGTTGTTTAAGTTTTAGGCAATTACAATAGATTTGACAGAAACAAGTTTTATTCTACACAAATGTAAATGTATACATCTGAATAACAATAAATGTACTTACATTAACACAAACTGCGTGTAGCCTAAGGAGTAGTTTGTAAAACTTAAATGGGATCAGGAAAATACAAGGGAACAGTTGTTTTCAACTCCTCCGCATAATATATTTTTCGCAACTGTTTCTGTAATACATTGTTCTTCTAATAGAACATTTACAGAGCACTCGGTTAAGTGTACATTAATCCAGACCAAATATAAATCTTTTGCTGTACTTAACTAATAGGCATGGCCGTAATTTTTAATTTGTTATCATTAAGCCTGTTTCCAAAGTGTTTCCATCTGTTAGTGTGATGTTTGTAAACTGTCCTACCTTCATAAAATACTTTCGCAACATGAAAATGTTCAAACTTTTTAGAAGCAGTGGGTTATTACCAAATATAAAAAAACAAATTTTACACCCTAAATAAGCAAATTCCTAAATTAAGAACAATACCTACAGTATAATGGTTTTTATCCCAAAAATCCAAAAAAAAAACCATTTTGTATTTCCTTAATAATATAATCTTTTAAAATTAAATAAGAAAATACATGTATACAAAGACATATGTTACAATATTCGGCGAAATAAAAAAAAACATAATTTATAAGTAGAAATTCAAACAAATCCTGTAACTATCAGTAAATAAGTAATATTGACTGCTCAACAAAATTGAATCCAAACAAAACATTCCCGATAAAAGAAACAGGAAGGAACTAACAAACTTCTGAGTTATAAATCTAAAGATTGTTCTTCACTTGCAAAAACTCACGTTTACGGAAAGATCCAGAGTTAGGGCACAAATCTATGCTTTATATAGCAACACATGACCTTCTTATATTCCATCACAGATTTATGCTAGCATAAAAAGGTCTGGGAATGCATATAATGTCAAGTAGAGGCGTGCAAATATAAGAACGACGTAGCGTCCATTCAACACAGATTGCTTATCGTAAAAGTGTGGTCCAGTGATCTCCAATCTACTTTTATTGGTCATAAATCCGGTGCTATTCAATAATGTATCGCTATTGATAATGTGAACGGGCGTTAATGCCTAATAAACAAGCGAGATAACTTGTGATTAGGTAATTCTCTCCGAATGACAGTTGACTTCGTTTATCATTTTATTTGGTTATTATCTGTTACATTTTTTTTACCTGACTCTTTTGTTTTGTATTTCTTTTACATTTAACATTTAGTGTTAATTAAAACATTTTTTTTAGTTTAATCCCAATAAAGATTTTATTTTTGGACGGACAAAGAAGTTAAATATACATTACACAACAACACAACACATGCATGATTGGAAGTGTTTATAAACCAAAGACATTTGAATAATTTTTAGTTTTATCGTCGATCTTTCAACAAAAATAAATAATTTACATTTTTTCCTCTAGGCATGAATGGTTCGAAGAGTTAAACCTCCGTTGGTACGCATTACCAGCGGTGTCAGGCATGCGTTTCGACTGTGGAGGTATCGAATTCACTGCTAATGCTTTCAATGGCTGGTACATGAGCACTGAAATCGGCTGCCGCAACTTCTGCGACAATAACCGTCTTAATATGTTAGAGGTAAGGTCTTTATTTGTCGCTAAATCGTATACAACATCTTTGATCTAAATATAGCACGGAGTAATCAATTATCTACGTACCTCTTAAGGAAAAACTGTTGTTGTTGGAAGAATAAAAGTTGTGGCTATGACTTGTATGGGAATAAAACCCACTGACCTACACGGCTGCAAAGATCTACAGGTGTCCAGTATAAGTTGACCTGTCTACACAATGACGGTACTAGTTATACTAAAACAAAACAAAAGTCAACAACTTCCAGGCGAACTATAGTAATCCTAAATATATATGTTGCTTTTCTTCGATTTTTTTTCGAACTGCCTTTACACAGTTTAACTGCTATGCTACTTATTAAATATTAGTGGTTAAAGTATGAAATTGCCGATTGGTACTGAATAATTGAAACTTGTTTTTTGTTCTATGATGTAGGTAACATATTTATTTAATCAAAATATTTACCCTCATTATCTATACATTGCTACCATCAAAACGGAAGTTCATTTATGCTTTTACGATAAAACTCTGAGGATCTAGATTCGACAAACTGTGTGAAAGCATTTTGTACTGCCTCCTGGGAAGATTTTTTTATCACGTAGAAAAATTGTCTATATCACGAAAAAAGTTGTAGTAAGTTGGAGCAGTCTAGCGAGTATGGAGGTTGACGTATGATTCCTAACTGCAGCTCCTGTAGAGTCACAGCCGTTTCTCGTGCAGTATGAGGTTTTGCGTTTTCATGGAGCAATAATAGTGAAGATCGATTTACGAGTCAGGGCTGTTTCACTGCCAGTTTCGCCATCATTGTTTGAAGTTCAGCACAGTAAACATCTGGCCACTGTTGCGGCGATTGAACTGTTGTCAGCCATTCCATTTTTCGCTTACGGTTATCGTGAACAATCCATTTTTCGTCACATGTCACAATTTGATCTAATATTCCTTCATTTCTGTACCGATTCCATAAGGCAACACAAGTTTCCCACCCATTTTTCATATTTTTTTACTTATTGATTTGATGCAAACGAGTCAGTATTGTGGGTAGGGCAATGTTAAACCAATTTGACTCGGATCGGCTTGCACCATCTCCATCTCTCTCAGTCGAAGTTTCTAAAGTGCGTTTATTAGCAGACTCCTCTCGAAACGCAGCGTTGATATAGCAAGCCGTTTCTGCCGCGTTAGCGCTGCTTCGGAACTCGTATTCAAAAATGCCTTCGAAGTATCCTTCTTTGACGTCTAAACTGAATAAAATAATAATAATTGAAAGTCGAAAATCTAATGCTGCAAAGTAGAACCTCATAGGTATCATGTGAACAAAGTTTCACACGAAAATCTCACACCATGAAGGTTGTATGTCTATTCAAAATTATCTATTACTATACAACGGCAATTTCATATTTTAACCCCTATTATTAAAATACATATATGATATTAGCTCATAATCATTATTAATATTAAATGTAAATCGCTTATGTCATATGTAATAAAACGATTGTTTCCATAAATCCTTGTTTGCGTCAGATTTTCAACCACCAATATGGCGTAATATGCGGTTGTAGTTTTCTTTGATTGATTGACAACTACTTATAACAGCACATTTCAATATTACAAATTAATTGCATACTAGCTGTATGCTAATTTTGCACCTGTACCGTAGATAGAGTTCAGGCTTTTAAAAAATGTATTTAAAATGTCTCAAAAATATTTTATCATGTCATTTCATGGCATCAATATAAATAAATATTCTATATTATTTAAATGCATTACAAGTAAAAATTTCGAAAATAAAATGATTTAACCAATAATTTAGTTCTAGATGCCTTCAAGTTCTCTGTAAAAATTACCTATAAGATTTTTTTATTTACTCAGAAAATAGCTCAAAAGATGGGTCTGGATACAAGAACTCCCATTACCCTTTGGAAGGATAAGGCTCTAGTGGAGTGCAATGTGGCTGTTCTACACAGTTTCCAACAACACAATGCTACTATAGTGGATCACCACACTGCTTCTGAGAGCTTTGTAAAGCATCTTGACAATGAAAATAGATTGAGGTAAGTTTTAGCACCATTATCCTATCACATTGACTTGTATTGTTAGTTTAGACTGTGACTTTGGTTTGAGAGAATATTACTCATAAGAAACTTTAACGACTGAAAATATATTTATTTAATAAAATTATTGTATTCAGTATGCAACGTGCTATGTACGTAGAGTCAGGAGCTAAAGACATAAATTGTGTAAAAAGTACTGCTATGTACATAAAGTTTTCCCAATTTTAAATAGAGTTATGTTTGTGTGAATAATACCCTTATTACTATATCCCATCATATTTCAATATGCAGTACCTTATATAAAATATAAGGTATGGTTATATATTGTGTATCTTTTACGGACAAAAATATTAAGGCAAAATCTTGCTTAACACCGATTTTCTGTGAGGCCGTGGTATCGCTCGGGTCGAACCGGTCCACTTGTCGCGAAACATGGCTCTCCCACGGTTATGTGCTTCTTCATTTTAGTTCTCACCAGTATCAAAACTGTTAATGTTACTAGAATCACTGTAAACAATAAAAAAAAATTAAATTGCTTACAGATAGACGTAATCTAAGCTTTGAAGGATGCTCTCATTTTTTATTCATACGGTGTTAAAAACTATGTTAAGAAAACATAACGTTTTGACTGTAGTAAATAGTTTGCGGATGCGAAAACGACAACCAGACTTAATTGATCATTAAACTGTCAGCACCAAATCCTTGCTAACAGCACGTTGCACATGTGGTCAAAGGAAGGACTTAATAATAAACAACTGATTTGATCATTCTTAACCATCGTGTGATTGTTTTGGTTTCCCACTTTACCACGCGACTGTACACGTAAATCGATTACGTCATTTTATTTATCTGTGTCTTAGAATCTGTTCAATCATCCTATATGTTACGGTTATATTTTTTGTCCATGATGTGCAGGATACCGACAAATAGATTAGGTTTTTACGTATGCAAAAAAATATTTGGGATTTCGTTGTTTTATTAAAAAAATTAGGTAATGGTAGAACGGTCTTAAATAATAGACCGGATAATGATTGTCGTCATAATACCTATGAATATTTAGAAAGTTTTCGACTTTATTAATAATTTTCAAATTGGTTGAAAACAAGTGGTTTAGCGTTAAAGTAAAAGTATTTACCTTCAAAACTCGACTCCTCCAGTTCCACTTTTTTCGTTCTTTTTAGCTTATTGGCATAAACGCGATATGACTATATTGTGACGTGATTTTTCAGAGAAGTTTCTATCACGGAAGATGTACATAATAAATAAGGACAAAATTTCTAATATTTCCTGTTTGTATAAATATTTTGTAACCCTAATTTTATTCCTCTATTTTTAAAACACGCTAATACAATGAATCATTTCATTGTTTATACCTGTTTATGTTCTGCATACGTCATATTTTACGAGCAAACTTTGATTCAGTGCCATAAATAGGGTGCTGTAACAATAGGATGTGGCTAAAATGCCCTGGATAATTTCGTATGATTATTAAGCCAAATTTGTTACAAGTTACGCATTCCCCGAGTACAAGATTACATTTCATTGTGAGCTCAGAAATAAAAAAAAAGATTTTTAAGACCAGTATATCAACTTTATGAACATTTTAACATTCTTTTTGTAAATAGAGATTTGCAAATGTGGCTTTCTGACCTTTTTTGGATCGATATCGATTGATCAATTTGAATCGATTTACTAAATTGTACTCTTTTTTTAATCTGTTCTTATTCTTTGACTATAAAACATATTTGAAATAATAAGTTGCAAACCTAAGAATCGAGTTTTATAAATAAAAAAATAGTAAAAGGTAGTTAGGTAGTATCAAGAGAATACAGGGTATTTGAATTACTATTCAACATTGATCATAACAAAGACTTAATCGATATTTATTAAGGGTCCTTCTACGTATAATTAGACTTTTATATTTAATTTTTCTAACTTACACCATGAAATAAACAGGAACATTGCTTTACTCAAGGAAATCACGTCTTGCTGTTTACGCATGACTAGAGCTGATTTGGACCATGCCTTTGTCATTAGCATCGTATTTCCGTGGATTGTTTTCAAAGAGTGTCAACTTTACTTTTACTTGTTTCAATTCTTTCCAAGGTTCTGATTTCTTTATTCTTGAATCTACTTAATGTGCCTTTGTATTAATAGGTCGGGCTGCCCAGCAGACTGGATTTGGATTGTTCCTCCAATGTCATCATCTGTTACTCCAGTTTTCCATCAAGAAATGGCGCTATATTACCTAAGACCTTCTTATGAATATCAGGTTTGTATATAATTAATTTTAAATGCAAGTTTTCTTTTTTTCAATTAATAATATGTAAATCATTTTATTAATTTACAAATTTATTTTATACGAAACCAGGAACCCGCTTGGAAGACTCACCAGTGGCAGAAATTGAAACCGATAAGTGGCAAGAAACCCATTAATAGGAAGTTTCATTTCAAGCAAATAGCACGCGCTGTCAAATTTACATCTAAGCTATTTGGACGCGCCCTTTCCAAGCGGATAAAAGCGACCGTCTTGTATGCAACCGAGACTGGTAAATCTGAGCAATATGCTAAGGAACTCGGGGTTATTTTCGGACATGCATTTAACGCTCAAGTATGTAATAGCAAAATGTTAAAGTTTCCACAATACTGTTTGAAAACTGGACAAAATTGATCCAATAACTATTATACATTTTAGGTCCACTGTATGGCTGATTATGATATAACATCTATAGAACACGAAGCACTTCTTCTAGTGGTAACCTCAACTTTCGGAAATGGTGACCCACCAGAGAACGGTGTCGTAAGTAACATCATCACAATATGATTTGTCGCTATAGCATTTTGCATTTTGACTCATACATTTATTTCTTACAGGCCTTTGGAGAACATCTCTGCGAATTACTATATGCCGATCAGGTCGAAGAAAATTCTGGGTAAGTAATAAAATTTAAATCACAATATTTATGAGTTAGGTGTTCATCACATCACATTAACAGCATTTAATAGTCCACTGCTGGACATAAGCCTCTCCTTAGAAAGGAGGTTTTGGCCTACTTTACCACGCTGGCTAGACGGGTTGGTATAGGGTTTATGTCAAGTTTTCCTTCTCTCTTCAGCAGTGCTGTTGTGCTGCGTAGTTTTCTCCCTTAGTCGGCTCTTACGACACCCACAGGATGAATAGGGGTGGTGACACTTTGTATTTTTCAACCGTCACCACACGGGACGGTGTTCATAACAATAAAAAAATATTTTTTTGTTTACAGTAATCAAATGTTGACACCCAAATCTTTCATAAAGGCCAATAGTCAAATAGAATTGCAAAGATATGCTTCAAGTAATCCAAGAAAATTGAATAGATTGGAATCGTTGAAAGGTAAAAACACGTCATAATAATTACACTGTGGTTATTGGAAATTACACTGTGGTTATAACCCTGATACGTTACTTTGGCTCAAAGTGTTTAAATAGCTTCAACTTCGACCCTAAAATTCAGTAGCTCAAAATTTCAGCTTACAACAGCGTTGCCGTTTTTTTTTGGGTCAAGGTAACGTTAGAGTAAATGTGCCCAGAAATTCTTTTATGAAAAATTATTCGAAATTTATGAAATTTTAGGTAGCACAACTGACGCCACATCTATAGACAGTTTTGGTCCCCTGAGCAATGTCCGTTTCGCGGTATTCGCTCTGGGCTCAAGTGCATATCCAAACTTTTGTAACTTCGGCAAGTACGTAGACAAGTTGCTTGTTGACCTTGGAGGGGAACGAATTCACGACCTTGCGACCGGTGACGAGATGTGCGGTCAAGATCAGGCCTTCCGGAAGTGGGCCTCTAGCGTCTTTAACGTAAGTGACTTTAAACGACGTATCTAATTTGTAATTATTCGCTCTGAAACTAGTGCGACAGTTAGAACTTAAGCAACTCAATTTTAATCGTTAAGAAGTATAGAAATTGAAAACACAAGTAAAAGTTTCAGTAATCATTTTTTTAAATACTTTACGCCTAATGCTTTACGCCTAAATTCATGCTTAGCTCGTTTTGTATTTAAATGTTCTAATTTAATACTATTTTCAATATTTACTTATTTACTTTCAATATTTACTTATGCTATACTTTTCTATAGGTTTCGTGTGAAACATTCTGCTTGGACGATGATGAAACTTTACAAGAAGCTAAGAGAGCCCTAGGCACAGTAGCTCTTAGTGAGGAAACAGTACGTTTTACGAACCCAACGTGTCGCCCTCCGGCGTTGCAAAGCGCCTTGCAGTCAGCTCTTAATAAAAAATTTGTGAATTGTCTTGTAAAAGCTAACAAAGATTTAGGAGACGAATCTGCCGAGAGGTCCACCATATTCATTGATTTAGAGCCGAAGGTAAAATTAATACCAATAAAATTTAATTATTTATAAATATTTAAAAAAATACTTAAGATCAAATAATATCACAGGAGGAGATCAAGTACGACCCTGGTGATCACGTTGGCATAATTGCTTGCAATCGTAAAGAGCTAGTTGACAGCATATTGTCCCGTGTAAAAGACGTTGATAACTTTGACGAACCTTTACAACTACAATTTATGAAAGAAACACATACTTCGAGCGGTAAGAAGACCTTTCAGATTATTTATTTTTAAATATTTACAAGCTGCACGTTTTGAATTTTTACAAAACCACTACTCACCAGGTCCAGTAAAAACTTGGGAGCCTCATGAAAGACTTCCAGTTGTGAGCGTTCGAGATCTATTTACAAGATTTTTGGATATTACAACACCACCAACGATAATTCTGCTTCAGTATTTAGCTACAACTTGTGAAAATGAAGAAGAGGCCAAACAGCTTAACACACTTGCAACTGTTAGTATTTAATAATTACAAAAAAAAATTTGTGATGTGCATTGTAGTAAAATACTGAGATTACTAAATAAAACTGTTTTAATTAGGATCCGGGAGCGTACGAGGATTGGCGTCATTATTACTTCCCAACTGTCGCTGAAGTATTAGAAAAATACCCCTCAGCACGTCCCAGCGCATCTCTGCTCACAGCATTACTTTCGCCACTGCAGCCAAGATTTTATTCAATTTCATCGTCCCCGATAGCTCATCCGAAACGACTCACCTAACCGTCGCTGTAGTTCACATACAAAACACAAGGTTAGTATTCAAAAGTATTATGAAGACAATATTTTACAGTTTATTATTACAAATTCCCACACACATTTCAACATCAAACCACTGATTTCATTTACATCCATTTTATAATCTGTTCTAATTTTGACGACGTCCGTTCTAAACAATCTGATAGGTGAGTCGACTAGTATTAGCGACATAGACATTTGTAAGGTTAATTAGTTTACTATTTATGATGCGGTTGGATAAAGTAAAACAATGATGTCATGTTCCAACAGATGGTGAAGGACCTGTTCACTATGGAGTTTGCTCGAATTATCTTATGGATCGTAAACCTGGGGATGAGGTTTATCTGTTCATCAGAAGGTATTTTAAATTTTGTTAAGCGTATTATATTTATACGACCCTAAGTATACCAATACGATTATCTGTGTCTTTGTTACAGTGCTCCAAACTTCCATCTCCCTCAAGACTTGTCAGTTCCCCTAATTCTAATTGGACCTGGAACTGGTATTGCGCCTTTCCGTGGATTCTGGCATCATCGTCGAGCTCAACTTAACTCTCGTACGCGTTCCAATGCTGGTCCGGTGTGGCTATTCTTTGGGTGTCGAACAAAGAACATGGACTTGTACAACGAAGAAAAAGAACAGGCGCTCAAAGAAGGAGTTCTCTCTAAAGTTTTTCTTGCGTTGTCTCGAGAGAATAACGTCCCAAAAGTAACTAAACTCTTATTAATATTGAATAAAACACTAACAATTAATAAAAAAAATAACTCGTTTAATTTTTGCTCCTTAGATGTACGTTCAAGAATTAGCGGAGAAGGAAGGACTTGAAATTCATGACTTATTAGTGAACCGAGGAGCACATTTCTATGTTTGTGGAGACTGTAAAATGGCTGAAGACGTTCATCAGAAGCTTAAAGGAATTATAAAGAAACACGGCAATATGGCCGATGAACAAGTACAAAACTTTATGTACATGCTAAAGGTTTGTAATTTAATATAATTTATTACTATGCAAGTAACATATTGTCTATTATTAACGAATAAAAAATCAGTTTGCATTTTAATTATTTTTTCTATTTAGTTTCACAATCTTAGTAGCACCTGTTTCTTCTTTAATTACTAGTTTCTTCTTACTGAAACTCTTACAAACTTACTTTACATTTTCGTTTCAAGATTCTTTATTACATTTTAAAATAATTTATAATTTAGGAGGAAAATCGATATCATGAAGACATCTTCGGCATCACACTGCGCACTGCCGAAGTCCATTCTGCTTCCCGGGAATCAGCTCGTAGAAACCGTGTAGCTGCGCAACCTTGACGCCGGTCTTCACGTTTCCACACGAATGCGCTCACCTAGCTTGACTTCTATCTCTCCATACAACTCACTTAACATGTCAACTGTTTTGAATCCAAATATCAATACAGGTACATCGTCTTCTTATATTCTATAATCGGCAGTTTTAATTCGCTAGCTTATATCTGAGGTTTATTATTTAGTATTGTCAATTTATATTACTGGTTAAAATGTCAATTATATCTATTTTGGGTTTTGGTCTAGAACAATTTGTCGATCGCTACTGAGGTTGTGCTTTAAAACTGATCTTGTATACATAGTCTCACCTAGATACGGCTTAGTTACATTCCATTTCAGTATTATTCGGATGCTCATAACCAGAGGCTGCTAAAATGTTTGTTATAGTTTATGAAATTATTTTAAAAGAATTTAAAGCAGGGTTTTATATTTATTACGCACAAAACGCATTACCATCTCATAAGTTTTTCTTGAAAGCTTAACAATTATTGTTCATGTATATCAAATGAATTCAAAAATATTTACAATGTTAAGAACGGCTACAATTATATAATATTTAGATGTAATTTTATTCCACTTAATAATAATATAATGACTTTAATTGACGTCATAATATAAAATATTGTCCACTTATTGCTAACAATACTTTAAAATATATTTTGTTAGTAGATAATAACAAAAAAGTAATTGAATTAGTCTAGTTAGTCGCTAAACATTTTCCAAATTATTTTTTATGTCGTTGTTACATCGCTGATCAACAACGATTCTTTCTTGTAATGCTTACATTGCCAAATGTTGTACAGAATGTAGTACCTATAGTTATTTTATGCTATCGATGTAAATAAACATATTTTAGGTTTTTTTATAATCTTGTATTGTATTATTTTAGTAATAAATCATCATCATCATCATCATCAACAGCCTTTAACAGTCCACTGCTGGACATAGGCCTCTCCTTAAAAAGGAGGTTTTGGCCTACTATACCACGCTGGCCAGACGGGTTGGTATAGGGTTTGTGTCAAGTTTTCCTTCTCTCTGCAGTGCTGTTGTCCTGCGTATTTCGCTCCCTTAGTCGCCTCTTACGACACCCACGGGATGAATAGGGGTGGTGACACTCTGTATTCTTAATCCGTCACCACACGGATAAAACTTAATCTTAATTTGAAATTATTTAGACATTTTTTTAAGTAATGTTTCGTTTAAGATTTTCTATCAATGTTATTTATAAAACGACCATATTATTATGCGTATATAGGATATATATATAAAATATAATGATCATGTGCAGCTATAATCTAATGTTTATTCAAATATATTTTTAATCCATGTCCTTTATATTTGAGTATTAGGTGTGAGTGTTACATTTTGTGAAACTTTAACTAGTCATAAGAAATGTATTCATATTTTCTATTATTCGTATTATGAGAATTTAATATACAAAAAATCTTTTCTGATTTTACTTAACATTTCTATATTAAAATATAATATTATAAATGTCTTTGCCGATAATTTACAATATCTTCTAAATTAATCATAATATGCACATTTGAGACTAATAACAATGACGTTATAAAATTCATATCACGCAAAGTATTATTGTAAAGCACTATTTCATCTTATAAAAGAAACTTTTTGAAATATTCAAGAAACATCTACGTATATAATTGGATTGCAAAAATATTTGTCTGTTATTGGTCAAATAAAGTTCCTTCGTATTCGAAAATGCAATACGATTTTTATTTATTGTACCCATTTAACACCCAGTGTGAAAGCTTCGCTTCTACATATATATGGTTTATCATTTTAACTGAGAGTCAGGTCTCAAAAGGGCTTTAGTTTTTGGATTGTTAATTGGATTGATATTATAGATGTCTAAGGCTTCTCGGTAATGTGTCACCACATACATACATTTTGTGGTCCAAGAGTATTATTCTTTCGTTGTGAGACTATCGTCATTTTGTCAAGTAGTTCAATTTAATGAGATTACATTTAGATCACAAATTAATTAGACCACGGGTCCATTCAGGCGCATCGCAGAACGACCTCCGTCCTCCATAAGCGCAGGCCTCATCATTATAATTTATAAGCCGTAGATGGCCCGAGGTACGTCGGGGTATCCGGGTTTTCCTTACTAGGGTAGACCTGGTTCCCCGGCTACTGGTACCTGGAGACGGCGTGTGGTTTTGGTCGGTTCGAGTCCGATATAACCACCCTACTGGTGAATAGAATCCGAGGGGAGTTCATCACAGAAAAAAAAGGGTGACATATTTTAAGTTGCGACAGTTTTTTTACTGTCAGACTTTGGTAAATGAATCGCCACTTACTTACTACGGTCTGTAACTTTTTTAATCGGTGAAGGTACTCTTTGACACTCTCATGAATCTGAACAGAACTGGCCCTAAAAAGGTCCACGTATCTATAAAACAGCGTTTCACTATGCTATTTTTGGCGCTATGTTGAGATAATGCAATAATACTGCTACTCTCATTATACCTTGTTTATTCTATACGTATACAAAATGATTGAACCATATATAAATTTTATAATTAAAACCACATAATTTAAATATCATTTAAAATTAGTTTCTCTCGTATTACTATCATTAAAATGAAGGAATTTAATCTCCGGACAGTAATCTCCGGAGCCACTGCAACTATGTCAAAGACAAGACTGTATAATGAAGACTAGTGGTTCTTGTATCAATAACTCTCGTGAATAAAGATTTGATATTATCGTTTACTAAAAAAGGTAAATTTCATTGCATTCAACTACATCAAGGATTCACTTTGTATATAGATCAATAAACAATCATCATCATCAGTCTATCGCAGTCCACTGTCGGACATGGGCCTCTCAATTTAGATCGGTTTTGGGCTTCTCGCATCCAGCCCGTGCCAGTCATTATGAGCATATTGTCACTCTACCAAAAAACAATAACGTCAGCAAATATTCTTTTTTCTTGAGCAAACCTAGTTACAAAATTGTTAATGGCGAAAAAGCCATTAGACATCTTTTAGGCATAGACGGGTATCGAATTTTCTCGAATAATGTTTAAAAACATGAATTGTGACAGATTACATAACATATACATAATTATATATTGACATGGGCTAATCGGTTTTACATGTCTTTGAATTGTTTGAAGTTTATTTTTACATTGGCCGCGGGTACAGGCTGATTTGATGTTGCGAGTGTTACCTCCTAAGTGGAATTTGAAATTGTGACCCGTTTCATCAAGTTCATAATTATTATGCAGATGACGGCCCTCATTTGTATTACAAATAAATTCTATCTTGGATATTCACAACCTCATCATATCAGTATATTTTTCTAATTGTCAGTAGGGTACAACGAGAGCTTGCCATGTTGCCTGACACTTAAGTATAACTAAAAAATCTAGATCTGTTTGTGGAGTCATTAAAATTGATGACTTTTAATTTTAGTGACTAATGAAAAATAAAATTTCTATTCTTAACGAGACGAAACACAAGAACATTGCTAACTTATCATTTTATGTACCGAAACCATTTATATGAATAACAATGACTAATGAACTAAACAAAATATTGTAAGTCATAAACGAAAATGACATTTTGTTTAGTTTAATTTCATCCTGCTCAGTCAATGGACTTCCAATATTAAATTCTTACGTCACTCACGGTTAGTAATATTTCTTGGTAATCTTTAAATCAATGACGTTATTGGCATTTGATGTCAGCGTACTGAAATGTGCATTAGCAAAAGTTAATACCCTGAGAAATCTGTAATAAGTAAAACCCCAGCTCCTAAGGAAGTTCTAAAGTTGACATTAAAGTTAGTTCCTTCTTCGTATAAAAAAAAAGAGGTTTTCACTTTACAGCATAGACAATGCTGAACACATAATTTGAATTTTCGAATGTGGAATAAAGTTAAGAATGAATATAGTAGTTTATAATACGAATAGATAAAGTGATAAAATATGTTTATTTTTTATCACTTTCCTATAAATTTTTCGTGAATAACGACTTTAGTAGTTAAGTATATTTAAAACATTGCAATAAATTTACTACACCATTCTAATTCCACCGGTACACATATTTTTCCATTGAAACGACGTAAATGGTAATACCTACGTTCGAAATTTTAATTATTTTTAATTCTGCGATCACTCGTCTCTGCGATCAGTGTAATACCATCGAAACGTTAGCAAACCAAAAAGGTATTGTTTCTTGTTATAAATAAGTATCTTTTACACAACTAAGAAATATACAAGGATCTACAGATAAATATGGCTTTTTCTTCTCAAAGATTAAAAAGGGTCATGTAGATTGATTGACTGTGAGAATGAAATGGTGCAATGTGACAGTGATCATCACTCGGCACTATGCCGATGTATGAATTCCAATACGAGGCAAGAATTTACGTAATCTACTTATAACTGTCCCATGTCTCAGTTCTTTTGTTTGCATAAGTCTTAAAGTGTGTGAAACAGGAAAGAAAGACTGAGAACTGCCATTTTCCTACTATCCTAACCGATATCATGTTAAAATCGTACAACAGTAAATTACGATTTTAAACTAAAAAGTAGATTCAGGTAGGAAATGGTTATTGAGTACCCTTATAAAGTTCTCTCATGAAATCCTCGAAATGATAATGTAGAATATCGTGAAGAAGTATAATCAATAATTTGTATGGTGTATATGGCAAGGTTTACCATAGTCTTTGATATTCTAAATATTACAGATAGAGTTTATTGCTTCTTTGTTATGGGTATGAACAATTTTCTGCTAAATTCTAAGACCTAAGCATTAGAACTACATGTTTCTATTTTCATCTATGTTCATGAAGGAGTAATGTAAGTAGGCCTAGCTAAAGCCGCTATTCGGGCAAGTTTCCAGAGACTGTTATATTCCTGAGAATTGCTTAACAAAAAGCCATTTGACCTTGATTTCAATGGCGTGGGAGATCTCACAATTATCTGCGATCAATGCGATGCAATTACAATAAAATACCGTATATTTAGCTTT